GGTCTTTGAGAAAAACTGGAATAGTTTTTTTTTTTTTTTTCAAAAAGGTAAAAGATATATCTGGAAGTTCAGGCCCTTAAACAATACAAGAAGCGAACCCAGAGCCCTTTAATAGCAATTGCAACCAAGCAAACTTGGTACAGTATCTTCCTGGAAATTTTAGTGGAAACGTTAGGAAGTACACAGCAAATGTCTTTCATTTTGGCCAGCTGCACAGTGAATAAGCTCTAGGGTTCTGAGCTCTACATGCCAAGCACAACAGAGGGGGCAATGAAGTGAACCATTTTAATTACTTGCACGGGTTCATTTATTCTGTGTGATATTAAAAATGGGACCCCTCCCCCCCAGAAAAAGGCACATGATTGGCAGTGGTCTTCTTCCATGTGGAAGTAAACATAGCAGCCAGAGTAAGCTGTGCTGGTGATTCGCTGTCTTCTTAGCCAATGTTTCAGGTAACAGATTCTCATTCAAGCTGTTATAGAGTTCTAATTCAACTTCTAACCAAAGAAGTGCATTTGGAGTGGAGCAGGAGACCTGATGAATTTGAACTGGATGGTTTCAAAGTATGAATATTAGTATATGTACAGACTTGTGCACCAAACAAATACATTCAGCGCCATAGCAGCTACAATAGTGATATGTTCCCTTTGCAGCTGGCAACTCTAGTGCTGCATTGATGACTTTGTGAGCTCAGATTGTGACCTCTTGAGTTTGCTATCCAGGAAGTGGACAATTGGAAAAAGTTACCTAGGTATTTAAATAACTTTGCTGTGCATCCCAGGAACTCTGATTTCTCTTCAGATCACATAGACCTTTAGCCTTTTACCAAAGATTTCTGTGGGGAGGAAGCCATACACTGAATAAGGATTCAGTAAATGTCCTCATAGTTTATGCAGATTTCCTCTCTTTTTCTCTGAACATTCGGTTTAATCCCAACCATCAAAAGGCAAAAGGAAATGTATGCCAAGCATGGAGACTGAAGGCAGTTACAAAGGATTATTTTTTAACTCTAGAAAAACTTCTAGATGAAAAGAGAAAAAAGGCTACCATTACTGCAAAAGGACCCTTTGAAAGTTGATAAAAGTTTGCTCTCCATTTCTTACCACTGTCATCATCCATGGCCTTTTCATGTGAGAAATGGAACATATGGAAGATCACAGTGCTGCACAAAATTGCAGGATGCATTTTTTCTAATACAGTATAATCTTGTTCACCTGCCCCCACCTTCATTTAGTCACTGATCCAGGAGCAAACATGCCTTTCAAGCCATAAAATTAGCACTTGATTTAATACTCTTGAAGAAACCTAAGGGAGTTATTTCACTTGATATATCATCAGAGTCAGTCGGTCAGGAGACAATGAATGAATGTGCGAAGAAGCCTCGGAGAACTTCCCTTATAGAGTTGAGGAAACCCAGCAATTCTGAGTGGCTTGGAGAATTGTCCAAATGGTTTTAGAGGAACTACTGGGCAGCTAGGACGTGGGCTGTGACAACAGCAGCAGCAGCAGCTGTGGAGTGTATTTATCGTTAGATCATAACAAACACCTTGTGCTTTCACATCCACTGTCACTAACTTTTCTCAAGAAGGAACCCAACCGGCTGAATTGCTGAACTGCACTGTAAAGTAACACACCGATGGTATCACCCTTTGACCCAATTCTTTTCCACGCCCACCCCTGTTTTCTTTAAATACACAGAACTGTGCACAAGCGCTAGGCAGAGGTGGTTTGGCTGCAGAAAGAGGGAGCATTTTGTATCATACAGGGGTACAAATATCTGCTAGACCAAAAGTGCCCTTGCTTTTTATCATTGCTGAGTTGCAGTAAATATCAGCTCATGGACGTTACAGGGAGAAAGATGATTGTTTATGGCCTTGTATATTTTGTCTGGTGGCGCATCTTGTCCAAGGCCAGATGACACGGAGGTGATTCTTGGTTTTGCCACACCGTTTATATTAGCAAAATACACACAAATACTTAGTTTTTTGGGGTTTTTTGGTTTGTTTGCTTGTTTTCAGGCTATTAGTCTGGTTTTCTTCTAATATTTCAACTAAGAGAACTGAGCACAGAGAAGTTATATTTAAGCAAAGTTTGTTTGGTCTAAAGTATAAATTTTATACATGCAGGCACAAACATACTAATAAAAGACAGGTAGTTCTGTAATTGAATCACAAAGAGTGTTCCATTGTCTGCATTGTTCTCTATTTTCTCATGGCCCTTTTTTCCTTTTTTTCTCCAAATGTTCAATTTTCTTCATATCTTAGCAAATAATTCTCTTTTCTTTTGAGGCTAGGCAGTTATCCATTAAAATTTGTCTCAGAAGTAGCGCTTAGCATCTTGTCTAATTGTAAGCTGAGTTTTGCAGGAACATAGAACAAGCATATTTTCTTGGTGGCAACCTGTCTCTGAAACTATTTATTTAGCAATTCCCGTCATAGCTTTAACAGTATAGCTCTTTCATATGAAGATATACAAGCCTTTAAAACGGCCTTTTGTTTAGCTCCTTGTCAGGCTTTGATTGTTCCTTCTCTTAATAAATGCCTATCTTTGTTTGGAAAGTCTCCACTTTCCCTCAGGTATTTGGCACCCCTTACAGCAGTGTTTCTCAACCTCAGCAACTTTAAGATATGTGGACTTCAACTCTCAGAATTCCCCAGCCAGCATGCTGGCTGGGGAATTCTGGAAGTTGAAGTCCACATATCTTAAAGTTGCTGAGGTTGAGAAACACTGCCTTACAGGCTTAGGAAAGAGTTTCTGAATTAAACTATATAATCTGAAATCTCAAGCCATTTTAAGATCTCCATTCCACCCCAGTCCACAAGGCAACCTACATCTTGCAGGACAAATTGAAGCATAAGAAGAGCTGTGCTGGGTCACCCCAAATGTCTATCTAGTCCGATACTCTTCATTACGTGATGGGTAGCCAAATGTATCTGAGGAACTGATAAGCAAGACGTGAGGGTGAAGGCTCTGCTGATGCTCCCTATCCATGGGTATTTTGGCCCTTGATTCCATTTATTCAATTTTATTCCCCAGCATATGGGGAAGAAATCATGTGTAGGTGGTCAGTTTGAATGTATGTCATCCTTATGAAGCTACTGAACATCATGTTATGCTTGTCATATTTCTTCAAGCAGTAGCAACATTACTGTTACTCATTTTTAGTTTACTTTGGAAGAAAGTCATAGCCTTCTTATATACATTTTTCCTATCTATCTATCTATCTATCTATCTATCTATCTATCTATCTATCTATCATCTATCTATCTATCTATCATGTTTGAACATAGATTAAATACGCTTTCATACAGTTCAAGTCCTTTGTTCCCATATGAGATCTGTAGCATCACTATTATACTTTCAGAGCCTGTGCCTAATTTCAGTTCTCTTCATTCATAAATTATACTAAGCCATCTGTTGTTTTAATCACGATTTCTTCAGAAACAAACTCTTATTTCTGATGAGCAAAATAATCTTGGCTTGCTTGGCTAATTCACTGTTTCCTTCTTTTTTAGTTGCCTTGTGTCAGTAGCTTCATTAGAAACATTGTTAAAGCATAAAACAAACTCCTCATCTGGGTATCACCTTAGGCAATCAGTAAGCCAACAATAAACCATGAATGTAAGGTGCTCTGTGCTCTAAATCCTCATGCCCCCCTAGCCCCCATTTGCATGTTCTGCAGAAATTTAAACCAAAAACAAATAACAACTGGGAAAGAACAGGAGTTCTTTGCATATAAAGGCTGCGTGCGCAAGCTCTAATTCTGGCACTGAGGACAAATCCCTGGGCTTAGTGTGTGCTCACAGACTCCTCATTCTGTAATTCTGTGTATACCTTCTTCTTTTACAGATGGTGAGCCTCAGAGTTCTAGTGAAAACAAAAAAGATCCCATTGACTTAAAGTCTTCTCACCACTGGTCTCTTGCGGGGCAAAGAGAGAGAACCACTTAGAAAGTTTACCCAGTTGTTGTTTCCTATGAAAACATTCTTTAATCAAGCCCCAGGTTCTGGCCAGAAACTGACTCAGGGCATACTATATCAATAGTCATAGAGAAGTCTGAAAAGACATTCAGAGCAATATTTTGATAGATGATCCTGGAGGAAACAAATATTCCCAAAGATCTATATTATTCATAAGATATCAGAAATTCCCAGGAAGGAATGGTATTGTCTGTCTCAAAACATTAAGATAGTTTAAGAAGAGATTGTCAGCAAGACAAAATATAAATCTAGCTGCACCAACAAATGGGAGGTCTTCTTTCCCATTACAGATGCATATAAAGAATTTCTTCCAGCTGTTTTCTTTATTAGTACTATAAGTTAACAAATATTTTGGGCTCCAAATCCCAGAAACCAAGATTGGCACAAACATCTTATTTAAAGAGGCCAGGGACAAGAGAATTCCAGCCGTGTTTTGTAAGAAACACCTGCATTTGTTGAGGGACTGAGAGAGTAGAACAGGAAAAGGATAAGGGAAGAAATTTTGCCAGCCAATCTTGTTGACTTGGGGGATGACAGCTCTTCATGAATGCCTTGGACTGCTTCCCTCCTTTCAACTATTTTCTGTGCAATAATTCATCTTTTTATGTTCTTTCTTCTTTTTAGGCAGTTTATAAATTAATACATAGAAACACATGAAAAACCTTCATTAGAATTCTAACTCCCCACACATCTCCACAGCAACATACTGTAGTCCTGGTTCAAGCGTATGAGTCATCACTGTGGAAACCAGGGCCTCTTTTAAACTCGTTTACATGAGGGATATAAAAGAATTTCATAAATAATTCCACTGGAAATGAACTTGAGCATTCTGTTCCCACTAGATATCACGATATCAAAAATGCATCTAGTTTTAATCTTTCCATCCAAAATCTGCAAAAAAGATGCCTGAAGAAAAGGTACACAATTGAAAGTTATATGCAAACAGTGGTAGTTCTCTTTTAAAGAGAGCTTATATTAAGGAAATTTATATTTTAAAATCCTTCATTAGGAAGATGTATGAATCCCAGAATAAAAACATAGTGATTTGCATTTTTCAAAAGTAAGGCACCAGGCTAGAAACTGGGAGACTGTGAGTTTTAATCCTGCCTTAGGCATGAAACCATCTGGGTGACTTTGGGCCAGGCACTCTCTCTCAGCCCTAGGAAGGAGGCAATGGCAAATCACTTCCAAAATCTTGCTCAGAAAGCTGCAGGAACTTGTCTAGGCATTCACCAAGAGTCAACACTGACTCGAAGGCATTAAAAAAAAACACAAACCTTTAACAATTATATAAAATGGGGGGGGGGGGAGCTGCCATCTGTTATGAGTGATTATGAAGATAAACTGCTTTCTAATTTTCTATATTTAAAAAAATTGGAAAAAGCATACCTAGGACATTGACCCCATTAACAAAGTTAGAAAGCAGGCAATTGTTTTTTAAAGCAATGTGCACATCCCTAGCCATCATGACATCACAGAAAGAAAATGTTGGCATTTCTGACTGTCAAATACTGTGTCTGCTGTGTAGATTATAAAGAAGATAAAACTTGATGGTCAATTCTGTTTTTCTAGTTGAATCTGGATTCCAGTTGAAACCTTTTGGTGCTTTGGTGGGTGGGTGGGGACACCTCTATTTTTAGCTTGCAGGCATATGCTTGTACTTGTAGCCTACAGATATGAACTCCTACAACATCCATCGTTCCCAGCCAGAAAATGTCTACTGACTGGGAATAACAGAAGCTGTGCTCCAACATATAGGTAATCCTCACTTAGCAAGCATTAGTTCAGGGGAGAAGTGTGATGTCCTTGCCTAATGACCGTGCAGTCCTCACTTAATGACTGCAACCAGGACTGCCATAACTGTTGTCACTAAGCGGCATGGTCATGTGATCTTTTGCTTACTGACTGCTCCACT